ACATGAGGCCAAAAAACACATGAAAAAATGCTCATCATCACTGGTCATTAGAGAAATGCAAATAAAAACCACATTGAGATATCATCTCTTGCCAGTTAAAATGGCATCATTAAAAAATCTGGAGACAACATGCTGGAGAGGATGTGGAGAAATAGGAACACTTTTACACTCTTGGTGGGAGTGTAAATTAGTTCAACCATTGTCGAAGACAGTGTGGCGATTCCTCAAGGATCTAGATATAGAATTACCATTTGACCCAGCAATCCCATTACTAGGTATATATCCAAAGGATTATAAATTGTTCCATTATAAAGACACATGCACACATATGTTCACTGCGGCACTGTTTACAATAGCAAAGACCTGGAACCAACCCAAATGCCCATTGACTATAGACTGGACAGGGAAAATGTGGCACATATACACCATGGAATACTACACAGCCATAAAGAATGATGAGTTCATGTCCTTTGTAGGGACATGGATGAATCTGGAAACCATCATTCTCAGCAAACTGACACAAGAACAGAAAATCAAACACTGCATGTCCTCACTCATAGGTAGGTGTTGAACAATGAGAACACATGGACACAGGGAGGGGGAGCATCACACACTGGGGTCTGTTGGGGAGACTCGAGGAGGGACAGTGGGGCGGGTAGGGAGTTGGGGAGGGATAACATGGGGAGAAATGCCAGAGATAGGTGATGGGGATGGAGGCAACAAACCACATTGCCATGTAGGTGCCTATGCAACAATCCTGCATATTCTTCACATGTACCCCAGAACTTAAAGTGCAATAAAAATATATATACACACACACACAAAAAGAGACCGAGTTATCCTGTAGAATATTCCACCTTCTGCATTTAACTGCTTCTTTGCGGTGTGGAAGAATTGTTTTTAACTCCTTCACTTCCCAGACACAGCAGGAACCAGCTCCTTTTCCTCAGGTCCTCCCCGCCTTGCCTCATTGCTCACCTTTCAGAACCTGCAGGAGCAGATCAATCCCCTCTTGGTAACACACCAGAGCCTGCGGATACCGCGATTCGGAATCTAGTTCTACCGCCCGCTTTAGCACAGTGACTGCAGCTGTGCTCTCCGGATCCTGCGCCATCCCAGACTTCGCCATAACTCCGGGAACTCTCCTCCTCCTCAACCCTGGATGAAGTTGGGCGGGTCTGCTGCGCTTCCGGGAAGTGGTCATGTGACACCCATGCGCCTGCGCTCTCTTTCTAGGGTGTTTCCTGAGAGGGAGGGATTTCGCCGGAACAAAAGTGCTCTGCTTCGCAGGTCGCGCTGACTGCAACGGCAGGCTTTGGGTGTAGCACTTTGTAGTTCTTCCTCTGCTCTGCTTCCCTTTGGTGGAAAACTTCAGGGATGAACGTTTAGTAGGTGCTGGTGAGTGGGGAATGAGTGGCCGAAAGTACTGCATTCTTAGCCAAGTGTATATATCCAGGAACCCTCTGCAGACCTAATTGATTTTCCCTATTGCGTTCTGAGTTGGCAGGTTACGGCGACCTTAATGGATCTGCGCCTGATCCCGTCACATTGGCTCCCGAAAGGCCATTGGTCTGCATTATGCTGTTTCCCAATTCGCAGAATCCAGGGCCACGCGGCTTGTTGTGCCTAGACTCTTGGAGCTCAAGGACTGAGCCGCCGAGGCCGGACAGCTTGGGAAAGGGAACCCAAGCAGCATTTTTCTGTGCTTCTGCTTCATAACTTAGGGTTGCCATTGGGAATTAGGATTACTTTTCCTTTTTAAATGAAGACAGAAAATTGCCTTTATTTTTGTATTGCTTCATTTTATAATGCAAACATTCCAGTGTTGGCAGTTAGAATATTTTCCATTTTATTAAAAACTGATTTGTTACCATTTTGATGGAGACCTACCGAAAGCTGTTTGTTCTGCCCTTTTGGCCAGGAGGCAGTAATGAGGACTGCCTACTACTTGTTAGGGACTAGGAGTTCAGAGAAGAGACACGCTTCCAGCCTTCAGAGATCTCTGGTATCTCTGCAATAGTGATTCTATGTTTTGCATTTCAGAAGTGTTTTTCTCCCTTTAATAATTACATACATTGTCAGTTTAGAAAAAGAAATCGCTTTTTAACATTCCTGTTGCATGCATGGTCCTTGTAAAAAGACAAAAAGAACTACCTGTTGGTGGAGGGGGAGAGGAAAAACTCCTTTTTTCATACCCCCAGGGGTGAGTTAATGTTATTCTGACGACCTTCCAGAGTTTTTCCGTGAATACACACATTCGCAGATATTTAAAAAAAAAAATAGAAATGGGATCATACTTCTCATGTGATGCCTGATATTTTCCTATTTTTACAGTAGGAGACAGTATAATTGTTTCAGGGTCCAAGAGTCAGGTGCTTAATTAATAACTTTTACTTTATTAAAACGTATTCCTGGAGTCAAACGTGGTGACACACACCTAGCTCTAATTACTGGGAAAATTGAGGATTACTTAAGGCTAAGAGTTCAATAGCAGGAATATAGCGAGACTGTCTCTAAAAACTTGTAACTTTTGATTGTCACACCTTCTAAAGTCTGTAAATATTTAAACTTCTGTTATTCTGCAAAAATATATTATGTGGCGACTATAGGGTAGACACCGCTTTATGTAGATGCTTGGGATACTTCTGTGAATATAACAGACCAAAAACAACAGGATCTAAAAACACTTGTCCTATGGAATTAGCATGGTATTGAATGGACATGCACGAAACAACAAACCTAACAGATAATTAAGTTAGGTTAGAAGATAAACACAATAGAAAGAAAAGTAAGGTGGAATTAGGATTGTAGACAGTTAGGGTATGGGTGAAAATGTTAAACGAAGTGACCTGGGTAAACCTCATTGAAAAGGTGAAATTTGAGCCAGATTACAGATCTGGCTTTGGGTGTGCTCATTGCTACTAACTGCTATTGCTTTACATCCTCTCAGCTGACAGAGCTAGCCCATGTATACATGCATATCTATAATTATTTCTGTACCCCTCAATATCTATATTAAGCTAAACATGAGTTCTAATGCCAATCTAGTATATAAGGATCACTGTAGCCTTTCCCTTTTGCTTATGTGTAACCTCCCACTTCAACAGAGAATCCTGGCTCTCTGGAAGATTTTTGAGCAGAATGACATGATCTAAGACTTAATAAGATGATTTATTGCTGATGTACAAAAGAGATATTAGGGGAATTGGGATAAAAGCAGAAGTCCAGTTAGGATTTTGTTAAGACCTAAGTGATAAAAAATATTTTTTAGAGTGTGAAGCTAAATAAGTTGGATTAATACATAATGCTAACCTTGAGAGGAGGAAGTATGGTAAAATAATATAGCATTAGATAGGTTCAGTTGCTGAGGAATGTTTCTGAGGTCTGGCTCTTTACAGGAGACATCTTGCATTGATTCTCAGAGTTCCCTTTGCTTTTCTACATCACAGGTAAGACTTGCAGAACTTGAATGAGCTAGAATCTGCGGGACACTGAATTACAACACTTAACCTATTTTAATGTGTTAGAGCAGAAGTCTCCAAACCCCTACGCCTCACACCCAGACCACTTGGTGGTGCATTAGGAACCAGGTGGTACAGCAGCCAGCAAGCTGAGGTTGAGTGAGCATGACCACCTGAGCTCCGCCTCTTGTCAGAGCAGTGCAGCATTAGATTCTCTCATAGGAACATGAATGCTATTGTGTACTGTACATGCAAGGGATCTAGGTTGCATGCTGCTTATGAGAATCTAATGCCTGATGATCTGAGGTGGAACAGTTTCATCCTGAATCCTTCCCCACCACCCCTCCCTATTCATGGAAAAATTGTCTTCCACAAAACTGGTCCATTGCCAAAAAGGTTGGGGACTGCAGTGTTAACAGTATTCTTATTAGCTTTGTAATAATTTAATAATAAAGTTGCCATTTATTGAGGGCTTCCCACATGCCAGGTACTGTTTTAGGTGCTTTGTAGAATAACTCAGTTGCAAGACAGGTATTTTCTTTTCTGAGGGAAAAGTTGTAACACAAATTAATTAACCTGTCGGAGAGATACTTCTAGTTCATGAACTTAATCTTTCTGCTTTCAGTATAAGTCAGTATAGAAGGCTATAGTTTTTTCATGTATAATTAAATAAATACGGCCTTTTTAGGTCTTAGATGCAATGCATGTGCATTGAGAATAGTTTAAAAAAAGACAAATAAGCAAAAACATTCTATTTTTTAACAGAAACATGTTATGATTTAGTGAAAATGCACTTGCCTGGGAATTAGGAGAATGGGGTTCTAGACTGCTTACTCTATTGATAACTGGATGCTCTTAGATAAATTATTGAACTTTCTGGAATTCATGATCCTCATTCATAAAGTAAGAGTATGGGCAGTCAGTTTCAATTATAGGAGTTGGGATTTCTTCAGTCCTTTCTAGGTTTTTAATTTTCTGTGATTCTATGACAAAGCATTCTTTATCTGCCTTCATTGTTGAAGAAGACACTTTAAATGATAGTAAACTCACATTTCCCAGTTTTGCGGAATCAATCCAGGTCTGACTCATTTGGTGAAAATGGGATGTGGTTAATGTTGTGTATAATTACTACCTGTGGTGGAATAAAACATTATTTCTAAATCAATTCTTGCCCTTATTAAAATAACGGCATTATTAATTTACTGTTAAACTTCAGTCACGTTTACAATTAATTTGCTGCTTAGTTTTTTAATACTAGAGAAGGGGAAACCTGTTCATTTCCAAGACTGATGGGTCTGCTTCTTCTCACAGCCTCTAAAGAGAGCAATCACTACACTTATGGCTGGGATTTTGCGCTTAGTTGCTCAGAGGCCCACAGGCAGACTACAGGTAAGTATTTCTTTTCATGACTTCTTTTCTACCCTGTATGAATTTTTTTCTTTGTCAGTACAAAACGTATAGGCAAGTTACGTTCTTTTGCCAGTTCCATTTTGAAATTTTTGACATGTTGGAAGTAAATCTTGCTTATTTATTGTTTATCTGCTGTTTTATCCCTAAAGATCTAGAATCAAAAAATATCTTTTTCTGGAAAACCTGCCAATAAAAAATGGCTGTCATTGATTCCCCTTGGTCTATCTTAAAGTTTTAGGTTTTTTCCCTTCGATTATGGAAGGAATACATTTTCAATAATAAAATGTTAGAAAATTATAGAAAATCAGAAGGAAGATAAATAATCTCTAAAAGACCATCAGTGTTAGTATTTTCATGTATCTCCTTCTACACTTGCTTTTAGAAAGTGCACTGGTGCAGTCTAATCTACTCATAAGGGCCAGAGCCTAGATGCGCCTGTAGACCTGCTCCTGGCTGTAGATGACAATAATGTAAGGGGCTTTATGTATATTACCTTAACCTCAGATTAATCCTGTGAGGTCAATATTATTACTTTTTAGAGCTGAGGAAACTGACCTTCTGAGACGGTAAGTGTCTCATGTCTCACAGCTAGTAGGCAGCAGAACTCAGCCCAATGCCTCTCTTCTAGCGGTTTATGCCATCTCTGCAATGCAGGAAAGGCTGGGAGGCAATGAGGGGAATGACTGTTGCCCATTCCCAGAGCAGTATCCTGGTATGAAAGGTTGGCAGTGAATCCTTTTTCTTCAGTAACCTGACAGAAATGGGACTGGAGGAATGTAGAGCAGGAACAAGAGATGGGAACTGGGAGTGATGACATTGTTAGGACTAGAAAGGAAACTAGAAACTCATTTTGGATTTCTTTTATATTATCTTGTTAAATGTGAATTATTGCACATTATCTAGAGCAAGAGTTGATAAACTATGGCCTCTAGGCCAAATTCAACCTGCCACCTATTTTTTTGTAAATACAATTTTATTGAAAAATAGCCACACCTGTTTGCATATTGTCTGACTGCTTTTACCCTATAATGGCCAAGCTGAGTTTTGGCAATGGAGACTACATAGCTTTAGAGCTGGGAATATTTACTATCTGGTCCTTTACAGAAAACAGTTACCAATTCATGGTCTAAAAGTCTAAATTTATATGCCTTTAGCTTTATATTATGTTAGTGCTTAGATGGGATGAATTCACTCAGTTTGGGAACTACGATATACCTTTAATAATTACAAGGTAGGTTGGAACAGATTTCTGCTACCTAAAGATTGGTGGGTATGGATTTCTGTACTAGACAGAATTCTTAAAAAACAAATGATTTATATCATATTTTAGACCGTGGCAAAAGATGTGGAGTCTCTTATTTGTACAGATTGGATTCGTCACAAATTCACCAAATCAAGAATTCCAGATAAAGTAAGAACAGAGATTTTTGTTGTTTTTAATGTTAGCATTGTTTTAAAAAAATATGTTTTAAGTGGTACCTATTTTCATAATATTGAAAGATGTTACATTAAATTATACGTGGATGTAGGTGGTGGTACAGAGTTTAAAGCATAGTGGGATTTGTGTAAATGGTGATTATTAAAAATAAAATTGTTCTCTCACTTGTGTCACTGGCCTTCACAGTAGTGGGTTTTTATTATTTATATCCATTTATTACTGCTTATGGTTTGTATATATGTGTTTGTACCTCACCATTGTCCTGAGAAAACAGTGGGTCTTCCTACTCAGGCGCTCACCATGTCAGTCTTCATTTTCACTTTCTGTATTAATCATTGCTACTTTGGATCTTTCAGCTTTTTCTGTTTGATTTATGTGTACATATTATTCTTTTAGATAATACTAAGCCCTCCATTTACTTTTTTTTAAAAAAATTTTTTAAGAGGGTCTTGCTTTGTTGCCCAGGCTGGAGTGCAGTTGTGCAATCTCGGCTCACTGCAGCCTCCATCTTCCGGGTTCAAACAATTATTGTGCCTCAGCCTCCTGAGTAGCTGGGACAACAGGCCCTTGCCACCACACCTGGCTAATTTTTATATTTTTAGTAGAGATGGGGTTTCGTCATGTCGTCCAGGCTGGTCTTAAACTCCTGGTCTCAAGTGATCCACCCAGCTTGGCCTCCCAAAGTACTAGGATTACAGGCACCCAACCTATTTTTGTTTGTTTTTTAATTAATAGACTTTATTTCTTAAAGCAGTTTTAGGTTTGCAGAAACATTGATTGGGAAGTATGGAGAGTTCCTATATGCCCCTTCCTCCCAGCTTACACAGTGTCCACCACAACTGATGAACCAACAGGACACATTAACTAAACACCATAGTTTACACTAGCTTTCACTCTTCATGTTGTGAAATTCTGTAGGTTTTGACAAATGGTTAATGTCATGTATCCACTATTACAGTATTATACAGAATAGTTTCACTGCCCTAAGTATCACCTGTGCTTCACCTATTTATCCTCCCAACTCCCAACCTCTGGCCACCACTGATCTTTTTACTATCTCTATAGTTTTACCTTTTCCAGAAATCATATGATATATAGCCCTTTCAAACTGGCTTCTTTCTCTTAGCAATATACCTGTAAGGTTCCTCCATGTCTTTTTGTGGCTTGCTAGCTTATTTTTATTGCTCAATAATATCCCATTGTATGGGCATACAGTTTATTTCTGCATTCACCTATGGAAAAACATCTTGATTGCTTCTAGTTTGGGGCAGTAATGAACAAAGCTGCTATAAACATTCATGTATAGATTTTTGTGTGAAAATAAATTTCCAACTCATCAGGTAGATACCTAAGAGCACAATTGCTGGATTGTATGGTAAAGACTATGTTTAGCTTTGTAAAGCCTGAGTTTTTTGTCTATTTGTTTTGGGCAGGGCCTTCCTAATATTTTTTTTTTTTTTTTTTTTTTTTGAGACGGAGTTTCGCTCTTGTTACCCAGGCTGAAGTGCAATGGCGCGATCTCGGCTCACCGCAACCTCTGCCTCCTGGGTTCAGGCAATTCTCCTGCCTCAGCCTCCTGAGTAGCTGGGGTTACAGGCATGCGCCACCATGCCCAGCTAATTTTTTGTAGTTTTAGTAGAGACGGGGTTTCACCATGTTGACCAGGATGGTCTCGATCTCTTGACCTTGTGATCCACCCGCCTCGGCCTCCCAAAGTGCTGGGATTACAGGCTTGAGCCACCGCGCCCGGCTTTCCTAATATTTTTTATTGTGGTAAAATACACATGTAACATTTACCATCTTAACCACTTTGAAGTGTACTATTCAGTGGCATTAAGTACATTGACATTGCTGCGTAACTGTCATCACGACCAGCCATCTCCAGAACTCCTTTCATCTTGCAAAACTGAAACTCTATATCCACTAAATAATAATTGCCAACCTAGAGAACATAGGGAGACCCAGTCTAAAAAAAAATTAGGTGGGTGTTGTGGTTCACACCTGTAGTCCTAGCTACTCAGGAGGCTGAGTGGGGAGGACTGCTTAATGTCAGGTGGTTAAAGCTGCAGTGACCTATAATTTTGCCACTGCCCTCCAGTCTGGGCAACAGAGCAAGATCCCCATTTTCCCCTCTCCCTGGCTCTTGGGGACTATCATTCTCCATTGATTTTCTTAAAAGATAAAACAGTATTACCATTGACTACTTTGATACCTTTAATGTGGTTGATGTTCTTTTATCAGAAATCTCATCCAGGTACAATGGCTCATGCCTGTATTGCTAGCACTTTAGGAGGCTGGGACTGGAGGATTGAGTGCAGGAATTCAGGACCAGCCTGGGCAGCATAGTATGACTCCATATCTACAAAAAAATTTTTTTAATTAGCTAGGTGTGCTGGTGCATGCCTGTAGTCCCATCTTCTCAGGGGTCTGAGATGAGAGGATCGCTTTAGCCCAAGAGGTCAAGGCTGTAGTGAGCCATGGTCACACTGGTGCACTCCAGCCTGGGCAACACAGTGAGACCCTGTCTCAAAACAAAATGAAATGTTTTTATTTTTCAAGTCATTGTAAAGGTTTAACATAGTTGTGAATAGTTTAACTTGATTCCCTCGTGACTTTTCATGCTTTTTTCTATATTAGCCACCCTGAACCACTTGCTTTTCCAAAATATTTTGTGTTCTTTCCTATTGTTCCTTTAAATAGTCTCACCATTCTTTAATGCACTTACCCCTTCCTCCGATCTCCACCATCCTTCTCATCCTAATCTCTTCCAAATCCCTAGAAAAATATAAACAAGCAAAACTAATTTACATTCCCACCAACAGTGTAAAATGATAAAAACCTTAGAAGAAAACATAGGCAATACCGTTCAGGATATAGGCATGGGCAAAGACTTCATGACTAAAATACCAAAAGCAATTGCAACAAGAGCCAAAATTGACAAATGGGATCTGCTTAAACTAAAGAGCTTCTGCACAGCAAAAGAAAACTAGCATCAGAGCGAACAGGCAACCTACAGAATGGGAGAAAAATTTTGCAGTCTGCTTATCTGACAAAGGTCTAATATCCAGAATCTACAAGGAACTTAAACAAATTTACAAGAAAAAAAAACCCTATCAAAAAGTGAGCAAAGGGTATGAACAGACACTTCTCAAAAGAGAAGTGTTTATGTGGCCAACAAACATGAAAAAAAGCTCATCATCACTGATCATTAGACAAATGCAAATCAAAACCACAATGAGATACCATCTCATGCCAGTGAGAATGGTGTTTATTAAAAAGTCAAGAAACAATAGATGCTGATGAGGCTGTGGAGAAATAGGAACACTTTTACACTGTATACATTTCTACAATACTATTTTTAATCTTTGAAAAACATTCTTTTTTACTAAAAATACCATCTTTTGGGGGGTCAATTTTTTTTCTCAGTCTGATTCCTCAGATGTGTGACTCGATCTAATGTGAGTCTTAGAAGCAGTATTTATAGAATATATTACATATGCACACTCACATATTTTGTACAGATGCACATAACGTCTTACAACACATAATTGTGTGGACATTTCTTTTTGTTTTTTGCCTAAGAATATATTATGGCCATCATTCAATGTGAGGACCTGCAAAAATAATAAAACCTCATTCATTTTAATGGTAATATTGTATCCTGTAGGATACATTAGAATTTGTGTATTTGCACCAGGTGTGGTGGCTCACGCCTGTAATCCCAGCACTTTGGGAGGCCGAGGCAGGTGGATCACTTGAGGTCAGGAGTTTGAGACCAGCCTGGCCAACATGGCGAAATCCCGTCTGTACTAAAAATACAAAAATTAGCTGGGCATGGTGGCATGTGCCTGTAATCCCAGCCACTCGGGAGGCTGAGGCAAGAGAATCACTTGAACCTGGGAGGCAGAGGTTGCAGTGAGCCAAGATTGCACCATTGCACTCCAGCCTGAGACAAAGAGTGAGCTACAAAAAAAAAAAAAAAAAAAAAAAAAAAAGAATTTGCGTATTTGCATCATTTTACTTAGTTTTATTATTAATCGTTTTATTTAGAATGGAGGCACCATAACGTAGTTATCCTAGTGAGGAGCATGAGTTGCCTTTAAATTTTTTAGTATTACAAATAGTGTTACAATACACATCCTTATTTGGTACATTTTGTGTACTTAGAGGAGTGTTTCTGTGGGGTAGCTTCTTAGTACCTTTTGATTCTTAGATAATTAATTCAAATATTAGCTCTGTGGCACTATTTCTTATACATCATAGACAGAGTTCATTAGTCATTTGTATTCTCATAATACTTTGCAGATTCTTTTTATAATACTTATGTTTTATTTTCATTTTTAACTTACATTTGTTCTCCCATTTGACAGTCAGCCCTTCACCTGAGAATAGGGAGGGAAGAAGATGTAGCCCAGTGCCCAGCTCACAGCAGTGCTTACAGATTCTCCTGGCGTTTATATTATTTAATGTCATCTGGTTGCTCCTGCTTTGTTCTACAGGTTAAACTCCATCTATCTGAATAATCAAACTGATAGAAATGTTCTATTTGAGGTTGAGGATTACATAATGATTAAGGATGAGATAATTATGTAGTTGTGTATGTGTATGCATCTTTTAAGAAAAAAATGGGAGGTACATAGAAACTGTGTAAGTTGAAAATTCACCGTTTATAATTCTTCCTTTCTAGGTGTTTCAGGCCTCACCTGAAGATCATGAAAAATATGGTGGGGATCCACAGAACCCTCATAAACTGCATATTGTTACCAGAATAAAAAGTACAAGAAGACGTCCATATTGGGAAAAAGATATAATAAAGATGCTTAAATTAGAAAAAGTATGCAATTATTTTAATTATCTTTAATGTTGTTTACATTTGCTTTAAATTTTATACTTTTAAAACTTTAAGATAATATTTCATGTATATTACTTAAGGTAACATACTTATAAATTTGACTTAGAATGAGCCTTCAATTTAACATTTTACTGAAACATGGAACTATCTGCCTTTCACATTGATTTGTTGTTGTTGTTCACAGGCACATACTCCTCAAGTTCACAAGAATATCCCTTCAGTGAATGCAAAATTGAAAGTGGTTAAGCATTTGATAAG